ATGGTGGATTTCACCAGAGTGGTGTGCTTTACTTAAACACACAGTCCATATGCTTTTAATTTGTGTGTAACGATCTGGTGAATTGTCAATCTGTCCCTTTTAAAAGAGTGTGTAGGAAAACAAAATGTGCATGAACGCACTGGTGAAATATGGCTTCATGTTCTCATGTTTTGAAATTGTTTTCATTTGTACAGTGAGAATAGAAGTGTATGAGAATTGATCTTTAAAATCTCCATGGACCTAAGTATTACATACTTTGACATGCAAATATGTGATTTACACACCCTTTCTCAGAAATAAGTGAAATGAGGGGCCAGCGTTGTGGAGTAAGACTGCCACCTGGGACACCCACATCTCATATGGCACAAGTTCAAGTCTTGGCTGCTCCACTTCCAGTTCAGCCCTCTGCTAATGGCCTGGGAAAAGCAGTGAAAAATAGCCCAAGTGCTTTGACCCCTGCCACTCACATGGGAAATCCAGATGAAGCTCCTGGCTCCTGGCTTTAGCCTGGCCCAGCTCCAACTGTTCTGGCCATTTGGGGAATGAACCAGTGAATGGAGGATTCTTCTGTCTCTCCCTCTCTCCTTGTAACACTTACTTTCAAAAAATAAATTCTTTTTTTTTAAAAAAGTGGCCAAATATTTTTTTATTGTGCTTATCATCATCCGAAAGTTAGCTCATTTATTTTGTGAATCTTTTCATTGCCTCTTCTACACTCAAGTGAAACCCTATGAAGCTGTACTCCTGGTGCCTGGAACACTGACTGGCACACAGTTGTTTAATAAAAATCTATTAACTGAAGGAATTAATATAAACTGAAAAACATTCCATGAACTGAAGGAGTATGTCCGTGTATTTCTAAACTCAACTTCACTGAAGCCTCTGTGAGTGTCTACCCGCTTTGCCAAGTCAAATCAGATCAATGCGTGTTTAGTGCAGGCACAGGAAGAGTGGACAGTTTCCGACAGCATGATGCACTGCTTAGAAACAGCAAACTCTGGCTGTTCTGTGGTTTGTGAACACTTAAAAAAACCTGAGTTTTTACCTCATCTTTTAGGAAGTCTCCGCAGTGCTGGGACACTATGGAACTCTACTGGGATTTTGTAATGAAAACTATTTGATTGAAACAAAAGCTTATTACCTGAAACAGAAAGCTGATTTTGGTTGATGAAACCTGCATTCAAATCATTGAGTTATTTAGTTATCTTATTCAAGAACTGAACACTAAGGCAATTCTGAGTCATTTCTATTAATGAAGAACAACACGGACACACATGACTTAGCTTAGATCATTTTACCTTCTTTTTTGTTGTTGTAGTCATAACAGTTCCTTTCCCTTTTTTTTCTGGCGATGACAGTTCTATTACTTTTCATGTCATGTGTGACCATGAGTAGTCTAAAGAAGGCAGCAAGAAACATTTTTGGGAGAAAAAGAAGGAAGTGGTTTTAACATTGAAATTTTTTTCTTCATAATTCAGAAATAGACACCTACACTTGACAGAAGTTTTTCATCATATCGTGTTCTACTTATTGGTTGCCCAGGAATTTCAAAATAGTTTTTCAAGCTTTTCCTCATTGAGGATATATTTGAATATCTCTAATGTTAAATTCAACCGCAGAATAGCAGGAAAAGCATAGGATTTGGGTTGTGAAGATCCTCAGTTTGAATGTCATCTCCTTCCATAACCAGTATGAACTGTAAGCAAGGCACATAATTTTTGAAAGCATCACTTCCTTTAGCTGTAGAAAGGGTAATGCCTATTCAGCATAATCATTGCAAATATTAAATGTAAACTTGCATGGGAAATACCTTTTAAGTAGTTTGCATTTCCTAAATTTTACCCCACTGCCTTTTCAACTATTCCTTGAGTGACTCTTCACAGGAAAGAATATATAGAAAGCTACAAACACTTCAGAAATCAGATTTTTCTAGAGCAGACCGCCCAGAAATTCTCAAACTAGGATCTAGAGCCTCTTGGAGTCTCCAGAAAGATTCTCAGGGGCCAGAGGATTTTCTACAGGTATAAATCAAAGAAATGGCTTTTAGTCGGAAAGTAATATTGAAACATTAAAAGAAAGTCTAAAACATCTGAATTTTCACCTTATAACTAAGTATTGCTATGAGATTTCACTATGTATCGACATTTACATTTTCCACGTCATCTCAGAGAGTCAAAGGACCTTTAGGACTGTTCCTACCTTGCTGCTGATAGGTTGGCACGTCCTGCTATCCAAAGGATCACAGTGACCAGTATGTGCCACTATGCTTATGTCGGATTATTTATCTATGAAGGCAACATTTTCTTTTCCTAGTGAAAATATACATATGAGTACTATTTCCAGTTAGCAAGACTATTATATTTAATAAATTGGTACTTTGCCTTTACATTATGAAAATAACATGTGACTGAGTAATGTACTTCTTTGTAGGGGCCAATGAGAAATGAGCGATGAATAATGTAAATAATGTATTTGCACCAAAGCACATGTTTTCAAGACATGCTGTACAAATCAAGGTTAATTGTCAGTTGAATATATTATAAGCAGAACGGAAACAATGAAATTTGATTTATGAGAAGTTCTGAAGTGGTTTCAGTGCATCAGTTTCAGGATGTACTAATGGGCTTTGTGAAATTCTGCATGTTCAAGCCTCACCTCATTCATGGGAGATGTGGTGCTGAGTCTGTTTGAAAAACCACAAGGTGTGTGATGCCTGAGCCAGACTGGTTTCACTACACGAAACTGCCTTGTTTTGGGGGTAAGAGAGAATTTTTGAGTACACAGATGCCTTCTGTTAATCCTTTTCTCTCTTGCCAACAATTACTGGAATATTGGCCAAATAGAATCCCAAGCAGATATAAATAAAACATGACAAGAAGTCTTATTCCTTCTTTATCTTCAATAGTCTCACTCACTATGAAGTCAGGACTGAAATGACAACAAAATGTTCAAAAAAAATATTTCTTAAGAACTTACAGCTAACTTCAGGTTATCTTCCTAGTTCTGAATTTCGGTGCATTTTTGCTGGGTTTATATTTAGTGATGATTTCAACTATATTGTCATGCTGTCCATGTTGAATGAAGTAGTAACAGCTTTAAAGGGTCATCAAGTAATACGTTGGCATTCAAGGACTGCTTGTTGGCAATATTACGAGGCCTGATTTTCTTCAAGACTCTCAGATCAAATCTATTGTGTGCTGTGTCCAACACCATACACTGCAATAAACTAATGGTAATTTGAATGCATTGATTTATAGTTTAGTATTTAACTTGTAAATCTGGTTTGCTTTCAGAGCTGTGTAACAAATGTAAGAAATTTGGTTGCAGGCACTGATTTAGCTAGCAGTTAGGGTGCCTGTGTCCCACACCAGACTACCTGGTTTCAGTGCCTTGCTGTACTCCTGACCCCAACTTCCAGGTGCTAATGGGTTACTGCCACCCAGGTGAGACCTGGATTGCTCAGCCCTGGCCATTTCAGGCACTTGGGGGAGTGAACCAGCAGAAGGGAGCTCTCTATCTCCATGCCTCTCAAAGGTTTTTTTTTTTTTTTAAATAAGGAATTTACACCCAGTTTTCTGTTTATATATATTTAACTAACAAAAGAAGTAACAACACTGCAAGTCTGGAAACAATTTCTTGCTTTAAAATAGATCTTATACAGATGACATAAATCAGCTGATCACATAAATCAGCTCTGGTAACACTACATTGTTCAGTAAAGCCGTGGCTCTCAAATTAAGTTCTCCTGCTATTCCTGTACACCTGTGACAATTTAAAGTCATTCCTATCTCCTCCCAGCGAATCTGATCTCCTGACAACCTCCGTGTTTTTTCTTTTTCTGCACGTGATAAACATTTTTCCTCTTTTTAGAGTACAAAGGGCTTACAAGTGATCATCTGAGCGTGTAGCCTGATTCTGAGAGATTACGACTTGGAGGGACCTTAAATTCATGACCCCAAAATTCTGACCCTCTTTCCAACTATAGATTTCCCTACCCATTTATCCTTTAATAAACTGTTTAGTTGCTAAGGTTTTAAGAATGTGAGAAAATCAAAGAGTTTTGTTATATTTCTTCAAATGATAAAACTGAACATCAACTTATTATTTCTTAATAGCTTTGAAGTTAGAAATAGCTTAGCATAAGACAGGCCATTAGGAAAAACACATCAAAGTGTATTTTATTAGTAATTCGGCAATTTAACTCAGTAGGCCTGCTATTTTTGTCTGATTTTTTTTTAGGGGGAGGGGAAGGGACAAGGTTTTTATTACTTTTCAAAAGGTGTGAAAGAAAATAATTATAATCATAAACACAAAGACAGGTTTAGCAATAATCCCTGTGGGCCTTTTTTTTTCCTTCTGTAATAACAAACTCTCATATTTCACACTATTTTATTTTTGTATATCAGAAAATTCGGTACCAATTAAAAAAATGCCCCCAAATTACTAATCTGTAGCAGGTGTTTACTTCAAGTATCCTGTCCGTCTGGGGAGGGGGAGGGACTTAGGATGACAGGGAGAAAAAGGCAAACTCCAGCGTATTTTGTAATACACCGTATTACAGTGAGATCCCATGTAAGGCCACGCCGGCGTTTTGCCCCTCGATGTGTCCAGTGCTGTAACCAATCACTGTCGCAGACTTTAACGTTTGCCCTTCCCCCATCTCAACGCGCAAGGCTGGGACTTGAACAGCGTGATTTTGGCTGTAGTTAAAAAAGACATGTAATAGAGCGTTTCTTGCAGGGAGGCCCGTCCTGCACGTTTGTATCCTCAGTGCGAGGGCTGGAGCACAGGGAGCTACAAGGAAGCACCAGGATGAGGCTCCAGCCCAGGTGCAAATGAGTCCTCAATTCCACCTCTCCAGCCAGCCAGGTGGGCTTCTGCCTGGCCTTCTTCAACGTTCTGGAAGCTTGGCTGCCAGAAGCTGTGCGGGCGGTGAGACACCTGTGCAGGGGCAGGGGCGCGGCCGCGCCTCCGGACAGCACTGGCGCCTGCGCACAAAAGCTCAGGCCTTTGATTACCTGCGGGTGACCGTCCAGTCCAAGCAGGCCCGCCTCAGAACCGACCGGTCACTACTTGGAGTGGACATGGACCCGAGACAGTCGTGCCTAATGCTCTTGGAGTCCCGGACAACCTAGAGTGTGGCGCCAGCTGTTCCAGAGCTGAGAGGTCAAGTGGCTGGGGGGAATCCGGGAGGCCCGGCCCCCGCTCACTTCAAAGCCTTCTGGCTTGTCTGTCATGGTGAAATATCGGTGCCACATCCCGTATTTCCCTTGGGGACCTGTGCTTGAAGAACCCAGTGACCTAGGCACGAGTTCTCAGATACCGCCTGCTACAGCTTGCCCGGCGCTTGTCACTCCGCGGCAACTGGCAACTGCCCAGGTGGCGATGTTCCCGTCATGCCTCGCGGGAGGAACGCGCCAGCCTTCACAGCCTGGAGCTTGGGTATGGCGAGGAGGCGCTTACCCATGGTGCACCGGGCGCTTATTTGCATGGATCACGCAACAGGTAGACCCCCACAGGTCAATAACGTCCCGGAGCGGCCTGCGCGAAAAGCGTGAAAGCCTCGGGAGGTAGTTTCCTGGCAGAAAATCGCCTGGAGTGCTCGCAGCTGCTCGCCAAGGGGCGGGGGGATGTGTGTTGCGGCCTACTCACCATACCTTTAAAAGGGGAGCGTTGCCCGGCCTTTATATGGGGTCTGGACGCAAGCCTGGTCGTGCTCGCTTCGGCAGCACATATACTAAAATTGGAACGATACAGAGAAGATTAGCATGGCCCCTGCGCAAGGATGACACGCAAATTCGTGAAGCGTTCCATATTTTGCATCTTTTCCTTCCTGGAGAGCCTCACAGCATATCTCCAGTACCCACCTTAAGACAGTGCACTACTTACCCAGCTATTCCTGTCTGCATCTCAGTGCTTAAGCTTCCTAAACTCAGCACAGCAATGAGCTCTGCATTGAATTTCTCTTCACAGAATCCACCCTTACTTACGTAAACCGGCATTTCTCCGTCTCCTAAGACCCTGCCCAGCTGGGCCTGGAGCTCAGGAGTCCACAGGCTGAGGTCAGCCCGGGGAACAGGGCCTCCGTGGAAGACGGGGTGCAACACTCAGGTTCCCAGAGAGCTCGGTAGGGTCGCAAAGCAGGCGCGGGAAACGAGCTTCAGTGTTGCTTTCCTCGCTGCTTTTGCAGCCCTCTTCGTGAGGCAGGGGCCTTCTCCTGAGAAAGACCCAGCTCCTCGGGTCTCAGGAGTTCGTGAGGAGGCAGACAGCACAGGGAGTCAACCTCAAAATAGAAGTTTAACTGCGGAAAAGCAATGACATTTTCTCACCCCTAAGATGCGCACTACATTTGCACACAACTCAGGTCCGCTCACTTCGCAGCCCGCCTTACGCCAATCTTTACATTTCCTTCGAGTGAGACAATAAAGAAGCTTTTTTTTTAAACTTTTATTTAATGAATATAAATTTCCAAAGTACGACTTATGGATTACAATGGCTTCCCCCCCATAACGTCCCTCCCACCCGCAACCCTCCCCTTTCCCACTCCCTCTCCCCTTCCATTCACATCAAGATTCATTTTCGATTATCTTAATATACAGAAGATCATTTCAACAGTTTGCTCCCACACAGAAACATAAAGTGAAAAATGATAGATGATTTTTTAAATGATGATGAAATCAGATCAGACCTATTGTCATGTTTAATCCCAGTGAGAGTCAAGTTGGGAATTGATAATTTTTTTTTACAGAAGATCAGTTTAGTATGCATTAAGATTTCAACAGTTTGCACCCCCATAGAAACACAAAGTGAAATATACTGTTTGAGTACTAGTTATAGCATTAAGTCTCAATGTACAGCACACTAAGGACAGAGATCCTACATGAGGAGTAAGTGCACAGTGACTCCTGTTGTTGACTAATAAAGAAGCTTTTGCAAAATATGGAACGCTTCACGAATTTGCGTGTCATCCTTGCGCAGGGGCCATGCTAATCTTCTCTGTATCGTTCCAATTTTAGTATATGTGCTGCCGAAGCGAGCACGACCAGGCTTGCGTCCAGGCCCTATATAAAGGCCGGGCAACGCTCCCCTTTTAAAGGTATGGTGAGTAGGCCGCAACACACATTCTCCCGCCTTGGCGAGCAGCTGCGAGCACCCCAGGCGATTTTCTGCCAGGAAACTACCTCCCGAGGCTTTCACGCTTTTCGCGCAGGCCGCTCCGGGACGTTATTGACCTGTGGGGGTCTACCTGTTGCGTAGTCCATGCAAATGAGCGCCCGGTGCACCATGGGTAAGCGCCTCCTCGCGGTACTCCGGTCCCGGGGCTGTGAATGCTCCTGAGTGCCGCGCGGCATGCTGGGAATGCGCGCGGCGCCGTTGTGGGGCTCGGGAGAACAGGAGGCGCTCGGCGCCTCGGAGGCTACTGCCCCTCCAGCAGGGCTGCGGCGGTGCGACGCAAGTCTGGAGCATGTCGTTACACTTCCTTTGAGTGCATTTAAAAAGCAAAAGCAGTCAGCTGGCCCTCCTCGTAGTTAGGAAAGTGAAGGCAATTCCCTGATCTCACCCTCAGTCGGTCTGCGTTCACACATTTCCTCGTTGCTTCGAGGTTGCTTGTATTGAGCAGTCATAAGGACGGGGTGTTAGGCTGCTGTGACCCGCGGGTGGCTGTGACTGCGGCCCGGCCTCAGCTTCTGAACGCAGGGTTGGTTTATGGGGGAGGTGGGACCTTTGCCCCTGTGGAAGCCTTGGATTTGGCTCATTTCTGACAAATGGTGGTGTTAAACTTGTCCTCGACGTTCCTTGAAAGCTGGTGAGCACGTCTGGAAGCTTCCTTGGTTGGCCTCAGAGTCTCTGTAGCGTAGCCCCGGCCCAGCCCGGCCCGCGGTTCTGGTAGGCCGAGCAGCCTGCGCCTCTGGCTGAGTCGTTGTCGCATCGCTGATGAACATCGTCCAGGTCAGGAGCGCTTGGTTTGGCCCTAGCGTGGACAAGAATGGAGAGAATAAAACCTGGAAAAGAAATGAAGGGTGGCGGTGTTGTATGAGTCTCTGAATCACTCGCTCCCGGGACCAGGTGCTTTGCAGAGTTTGATTACTCCGGCTAACAATGTACCTTTCTTAGGCTACGTTGAAGCCTCCTGTCTTTACAGCTAAGACATTCTTGGGGAGCCATTGCCCGCCTTGTTCTGCTCTGCTCTCTGTTAGTTACCCTTTATCCTGGAAAGTCGACTGGATAAGCGAAAATAGCTCCTCCTCTGATTTCTGGATGTGGGCTGCTGGTTCTTTCCTGGATGTTTTCTGTCAGGCTAAGCATATATCGACGTCTTCACGCAGTAGGACTCGGACCAGGTGTGCTCAGCCTGACTGTCCTGCAGGTCCTTAATCTGTTCCCGCAAGTCTGTTCTGTCTGTTGTCTTCATTTCAAACCCTTCGCCTTCCCTGCAGTCCTGTCCTCCCGTTGCTTGTGCCCCCTACCTCATTTCCTACGTCAGTAACCGCACGTTTGCCCAGTTCACCTTACGCCTTTACAGACACTCAGGTCTTCACGCTCCACGTTTGGCAACGTTAAAATACTGCTGGCGTCTGTGACACTGAAAAATCAAACTTCAGGTCCTGGACTGACATTCTGATAAAAAGTCTTGCTCTTGTCATCCTTGGTTGAGAATATGTGAATTTCCAATCACTTTCTTAGGTGGAAATAGTGGGTTTTTGAAAGACTTATTTATTTGAAAGGCAGAGTGACAGAGAAAGATCTTCCACACCCTCAGATGGCCTCAGTGGCTAGGGCTGAGCCAGGCGGAAGCCAGGAATACAGAACTCCATCCTGGTCTCCCACATGACTGCAGGGGCACAAGCACTTGAACCATCCTCTGCTGCTTTCCCAGATGCATTAGCAGGGAGCTGGATCAGAAGTGGAGCCACCAGAACTGGACCCAGTGACTTTGATATGGGATGCCAGTGTTGCTTTGACCTGCTGAAACACAATGCAGCCCCGGGATTAGTGTTCCTTATCATGTCTTTTGGTAGTCATTCAGCAAAGTTATGTGGTAGGTGGCTTTTTAGTAAAATATTTTTTAAAAAAGTATTTATTTATTTGAAAGGTGGAGTGGCAGAGGCAGAGAGAGAAAGAAAGGTGTTCTACCTGCTGGTTCACTCCTGGATGGCCTCAATGGCTGGAGCTGGGCCAATCCGAAGCCAGGAGCCTCTGCAGGTCTCCCATGTGGGTGCAGGGGCCCAAAGACTTGGGCCATCTTCTGTCTTCCCAGACACATCAGCAGGGAGCTGGATCAGAAGTGGAGCAGCTGGGACTCGAAGCGGTGCCCATATGGGATGTTAGCATGCAGGTGGTGGTTTTACCCGCTGTGCTACAGCATAAGCCTCATAAAATAATCCTTGTATCTTGAGTTAACAATTTGGTTCATTTGGAGGCCAATGTAAAGCCATTGCCTGAGATGCCAGCATCCCATATGGGTGCTGGTTAGTGTCCCGGCTTCTCACTTCTGATCCAGCTTCCTGCCAACGGCCTGGGAAAAGCAGTGGAAGGTGGCCCAAATGTTTGGGCCCCTGCCACCCACATGGGGGATCCAGATGAAGCTCCAGGCTCCAGCCTATCCCTGCACTGGCCATTGTGGCCATGTGAGGGAATGAACCAGTGGATGGTCAGTCTGTCTCACTCTTTCTGTAACTCTGACTTTCAAAATCAATCTTTAAAAGAAAAAAAGGATTGGGTTTGTTTAAGGAGTAAAACTCTTAATAGACCTTGTTAACAAATTGACTTCAGGAGAAATTTAAAGGACTTTTCTCGGCTTATCAGATTTTTTTAATGAGAAAAGTTTGTTTTATATTCTAGAACAGTTGGACTCATATTACAAATAAATGTAATAATTCCAACTATGTACATTAACAATAAATTGAAACTATGCTTTCTTAGTGGTATGCTAAACTATGACACATCTTAATGACATTTTAGATCCGAAGAGATGCCTCATTTTTCAGAGAAGAAAGCTGAGGCTGAGATTATTATAGCAACATCGCCTCATAATAATGACAGTGGTGCTGCCATCTTCCAAGGCCAAGTCCATTGCTTTTTCCACTGTTCCACTGGTGGTATTACTAGGTTATACTGTTTGCAATAAGTTACAAAGGAATGGATAAAAGCTTCAAGCCTCCATT